ACCGCTTTTATCCACTGGACCATGTGTACTTGAGAATGTATATGAATTGTATACGAATGTTTGGGTCCATATTGTATTCATTTATATTCCCATATTGTATTCATTTCTATGCTTGACCGGCTTAGGAGATTTTTCTGGCCTAGCATATTTGCTGATAAGGAATCAGCAATTTTCGTATTCTCAAGTGATGTTCTCTGTCTATTAGTTTAACCTCATCACACAGGTCGCGATGATCTCCCCTTTTCCCTCCATCTGATACAACTGAATTGACGATCTTCTTGCAAATCAGACTCAATATAGCGCCACTCGTTCACATATTCTGTGGTGGAACTCAACTTAGATTCTCTCTAACCATAGGACTGACTGTGCCCCAGGAGCCACAACTACTATCACCAAGCCGTATATATATATATATATATATATATATATATATATATATATATATATATATATATATATATATATATATACATATACATATATATATATATATATATATATATATATATTAGGTACTTATTACTTACTAATTTTTCTCCTTTTTCATTGTTTCTTCGCCTTCTTTTCTTTTGTTTAATTCAGTTTCTAGTTCAGCTTCTACAACTACTTTGGCCCTCTTTCGCTCTCTCTCACTCTCTTTCTTTCTCTCTATTTCTTTTCCTTCTTTCCTTTTTCCTGTTCTGTTTAATTTATTAACTTTCACATGTACTTATTTATCTGTCAATCTATCTATCACCGTTATCTCTCATTTTCGCCTTGATGTTGAGATCCAGTTGTCTTAGGGTTTCTTTCTTGTTTTTCATTTCCCCTCCCACTTTCTATTTTACTCAATCTCTATTTCTATTCCTCTTTATTACGTCTTCCTTTTCATAGTTTGCTTACTTTTTATCTCCCTTCGCACTCTCTCTCTCTCTCTTTCTCTCCCTCTCTCTCCCCCTCATCTCTCTTCCATTTTGCAGCTTTCTATTTAATTTTCCTCCCACTTTCCTTACGTGTATTTCTCTCGATTGGTTTGTCTTCATATTTCTACCATTCACTTCCCTGTTCTTCTCTCTTTTAGTTTGCTTCAGTCCGTCTTTTTTCTTCTATTAATTCTTCCTTTCTCCCTCTCAAAAGTACCTAGTGTTTGCGATAACTAATATTGCCCTCCTCTTTCTATGGATTTATTTTCAAGTTTCCACCCATTTATCATTTTTATCTAAATTGTCTCCTGCTTCATTCCTGAGTCTTCGTCACAATTTCATTCCTTATATGTTCAATTTTTCAGATTATTTCAAAATATAATTCTGACATATTTACATTTTTAATCCCATGATATGGCTTCCACCATTTTCCTAGTTTAACAATTCTTCTAGTAAATATAATAATAGTAAGTATAATATGCGGATACTCATGGATATCATACACACACACATACATTATATTATATTATTATATATATATATATATATATATATATATATATATATATATATATATATATAGATAGATAGATAGATAGATATACGTACTAATATTAAAATCAGTTTTTTTATGTACATATTGCTATTACACCTAGACACTATATAATTGAAAATTTGATTTTAATATTTGTCTTGACATCTTTACCGATAGCATTAATTTACTGTTAAGTAATTTTTATATTCTTTGTCTCTTTTCCGAATTATATATCCTTTAATTAATATATATGTGTGTGTGTGTATTCATGTGGAATGCGAAGTGATATCCCATTTGTTCTTTTAGTAAAAGGAAAATATAAATTAACCAGGATCTCAGACTCTGTCCACAAGCGACAATTTTCGTTCCTTTTGTAATGTTAATTATTAAACACTTTCAATTCTTTTCCTCTTCTTCTTCTTTTTTGAAGTCAAAGAAAATAACAATTAGAAATCATAGTATCGCCTCTTTACACATTTTAATAAGCACGAATCAGAACTAAGCAGAAAAAAATTCTTAAAAAATACGATTAAACTTTTCTACATTTGAATTCTCACTGGTAATTTAAATTCTATCTATTATTCGTCTAAAAATTGGAAATAATATAAGGCTCCAATAGATAGTGAGTTATGACCTATTCTTTATTCTCTACTGAAAACATTTCTCTCGTCAATTTGTTTCCTGGCATCAAATTTAATGACAATAGCCAAAATTGGATTTTTCCCCCATCTTAAATCATGAATTTCTCTGTAAAATATCTTTAATACAGATAATTTTTCAAATCTCTTTTTGGGAATGTTGAAAAATAAGTTAACGTTCACCGGGTATATATATGCGAGAATTTATATTTTTCTTCGTATATACCTTTCCTAAGTACATTTTCATGAAATAATTGTGCCATGCTACAATTTTTAACGTGGATTATTTTTACCTAACATCTTTCGAGCAGTTCAGATAAAAAGGAGCAGATAGCTACTGTCGGAAAATAAAAACCATCAAATATATATTGCAGTGTCATTACCGGCATTTACCAAGTTTAACTTGGCTTCGTGCAAGGCAACATGTCGAGGACACCTAGTGAGATTATAAATCGTTAAACAAATAATGATCTGCTAGGCAAGCTTGTTGACAATTGCACTACAACGCAGCACCGGCGTAATAATATTTACTTAGCGTGTCTAGCGTAGGGACACTAGAACGAACCATTTACTAAGGAACGATTCCATAAACATGTGAGTATTGTCGTGAGGATAGTTTCATATGCATGTTCTTCTTCTTCTTCTTCTTCTTCTTCTTCTTCTTCTTCTTCTTCTTCTTCTTCTTCTTCTCACTTCAGAATGTTGGCAATCATCATGACTCAATTTGCTGTCCTTTGCAGCTCTTAGTAAATTTTGTCTTTTCGCTGTCTCTCCTAATCCCTGTTCGACCAACTATTTACACAAGCTCGTTGGGTAAGCTTTTACCGCTACTTTTCTCTTTCTCTCTTACCTTCAGTATGCCCTGTCAGTGTCATATTTTCCAATGTCTCTTTTCTCATTACGTGCCCAAGAAATGTAATCTGTCACTTTCTGATGTTAAGTATAATCGTCTTTTTTATTTTAATTTTCTCTAAATCTTCGCCATTGCTCACATATTCGGTCTATGGTATGATCAGCATCTTTCTGTCGAACTACACGATTCCATATTATCTGCCTTTAATTTGATTTCGAAAAAATTAGGATATTTAGTAAATATTAAACATTTCATTTACCTCGGTGTATTGTTCAGTTACAACAGATAACATTATGACAGATAATTATAAGAAATGAGGAAATTGAACATAGGTTAGGCTGTGCTAGGTGTACTTTCGCCCAACATTGGAAATTGCTCCAAAACCAAAACATTGACCTAAAATCTCATATATTCTTAGATCGAGACTTTTATAGAAATGTCATACATGTCACAAACACCGCCCTAAATTATCTAAACTTTCAACTCTATACAACCAATTTCTAAGGTCAATATTTAAAAATGGCTTCCAGCGAAAGAAGCCTGTAACTCATAGTGAGGACCATACTTAATCGAACCTTGTTGACTGGCGCTATAGAATCACAAACAAAGAAATATACCAAACAGTATAAACCACAGGACTTGAAGACTTTCAACAAAAGGCACAACTAAAATGGATAGCACATTTAACTCGAAGAGAAAATAATGACATAATCATGATGTTGACTTTCGTCATTGCTTAAAAGAAAAATGTTAGGAAGGAAAACCAATATCAAAGGGACCTATTTTCCTGAAAAATTGTTTTAATAGAAAGATTTTATAAATTTCAACCGAAAGTAGTACTGGGTAAATGAATGTCAAATGTTTCCTTATGATGAGCAGCTTATCTTGAGTTGTATTCTTAAAAAGGTTCGTCAGGTCGGAACTTACATATGGGTGTTATGCCTAGTGCCAAACTCGTTCAGAAATATCTAAATTGACAGCTGTATACAAACGCTTTCTCAGCTAAATGATAAAAACAGTCTTCGAGAGAATGAAGCCTGCAGCTCTAAGCTAGGACCTTACTTCTTCGAACCTTGTTGACTGTTGGTACAGAATCACAAAGAATTACAAGTACTATTAGAGACGAGAAAAACACTCTTTGATCTCAGTTCGATGACCAGGGGGTGATGCAAAGCGTAACTCCAGTAGCACTGGTTGATCGGTCATTAAATTCTGAATTTTTTCTCATAGAGAAATAGATAATACTACCATTAACATTATCCTGAACTGAATAACCCTTTTTTCCAAGATAATTTATGTTTAGCTTCTGCCTCACTGTAAGATTATGGTTAGCAATCTATGAGTCAGACAAACAAAAAAACATACCTGATTATGCATTTATAAAAGCAACAAACACTTCTGCTAATCCAACATTCTTAAAATTTCATAAAATGTTCTTTTTTACTTTATGAATATATAACGTTTCTTCTCTTTAGTAGAAGACTTCGACATATTTTGGGTCGTATAAGATGCCATGAATAGCACTCTTACTACTAAACTACAAAAAAAAAGTCTTTATTAGCTCGGAATAAATATTGTCAGTGAAAAACAGGTTTTCATCTCTTAAAAGTACAATAAGAAAGTCTACTCCAACTGTTATGTTAACTCAGTTCATATAAGAAATATATTAGGTTAATCTGCAACATTTACAAACCACCAGCATTCTGATAGTAACCGATTTATCATCTACACTACAATAGGAGAATGTAAGAATCAGGTGCGTTTTCTCACCGGATTTATTTAAATTATACGAGATTTTCCTGGGAGAATTTAATGACTTAACCGCGGTCATAATCTTAAACAAAGAACATACCCGTCTAAAAATTTTAAACCAGAAGACATTTCTAGATTGCAAGATTTTTTGAAGATAATAATGATTTACTGAAACAAAGTCCTACTATTTAACATTTCAATACTTTCTCAACTGTATTTGTTCGTAAGTGAATATAACGAACCCCTCTAGAATTGAAACTCGGCTCTCCTATTTCTATATTTGAGTCGTTATGGAATTACACCAACCTCACAACCAAGCTTTCAGTACGTAATATCTCCAAGCGGTCACACATCTAAGTACTCACTAGACTCGACGTGACTTAACTTAGGTGATCGTATGGGTACCGGTGTTTTAATATGATAAGCCCCATAGATACGTATGCCACTACCTTAACGGACGAAACGGTGAATAGTTGGGTACTATCAAGGAGCATCTTACGAGGACGATTAGCTGTACCCCTTTTGAGATATATTTCGTCCTTGCCACGGCCTAACATGTTGATCAGCTCAAAAACTCAACGAAGATTCTATTTCCTGAAAGGCAGCTTACTTCAGATCTGAATTGTTCCACTACAAAGTTCCAAATATTAAAAAAAAATTCTTTTCCAGCAGAAAAACGTAGTTCCCTCCTGTCTTCTGATTGGCTTATCAATAAAAATGGCTAATCTCTCAACTCTAAACTTTCTGATGCAACTCGGCTGAGATTGGCAACATGGACGACATTTTTTGAGTTTTCGAAACATTTTGTACCATTGATTCTTGTTAAATAAAACTTGCTTTATTCGGAGAGCCTGTTCACCTGTGCATTAGTCGGTTACTTATAGAATTCTGACAACTTTTATCGTTATGATTCAAATTAAAATAAATTTAAATTAAACGAATTAAAAGCACCGCCAAATTTCTCATACAAATACAGAAAACGTACTCATACTAACAATATACCCATATGTGTAATAAACTAAATTCTTCTATATTCATGTCCCTTCAGGATGTGTGCGATAATGGCTCTCCACAACTTTCTTCCCTTTGTAGCTCTAAGTAAGGATTATCTTTTTGCCATCTTTCCTAACCCCTATTATTCCAGCTTCGAACTCGTTAGACAAGCTATTCGCTGCTTTCTTCTCTCACTCTTATCTTCACTATGTCTTGCGAGTGTCAAATTCTCCAAGCTCTCTTTCCTCATTATGTGCCCGGTAAACTAAAACTGTATTTTTCTGATTATAAATATAAGTGTTTTTTTTTTTGTTTCTATTTTACCTTAAACGTTATGGTTGTTGTCATGTTCAGTCTAGAGTATTCTCAGCATCCTCCTATAGAATCACATTTATCTTACTTGAAGCCGCTTATTCATCTGTGAAGAGCTTGTCCAACATTGACTACCATATAGGATGGCCGATGTTAAATAAAAGTTTCATAATCCTTTCTTTGATTCTAACGAAATAGACCTTTTTTTATAATACTTAACTTAGATTTGCAAATCATATTTTGCTAGTCCAATGTGCCTTCGGATTTCAGTATCGCACTTTCTGTCCTCTTTTAAAACACTTCCCAGATATTTATATTTTTGTATTTTATTTTGCTGTCACTAATTTATTTATTTCTTCTGAATAGTTGGTGGTTACCTTGAAACACCTTGAAAATTATCCTTCTCTCGTAATTAACGATTATTAATTTTCCTCAGAAAGGAATACAGTGACAAAGATATATACATATATATTATTTGCACATTACATCTCAGGCTTATATAGGGACGACGGGATTATACTCCTGCGCAAATTAAGCGCACTAAAATCTGACCGTCTAAAAAAACCTAATTAAGTTCTTCGAAGATCTGAGCTTTACCACCACCACCACCACCACCAATGCTAAAATTATCAGTTAGCTGGATTCAACATTTCACCTATCTAATGTTCTTCACAAACCATAATCTAAAGATTTATACAAGCGTAGATATATCAACAGTCTAATCATCATCCTAGAATACTGAATAACTCATATATATTGGGTGGAATTTAGGCTGTCCCCCAACTCTATCAATAAGGACATTTTTGAAAAACATAAAAGCAAATACGAAGAAGCACAAGAACTTAGTAACCATAAAATTAACTTCGAATTCTATGAAAAAAGCAATAAGGACGCCAACAAACCTAAACGTCGTAAACGCAATAGTATACGGTTTAACCCACTCTTCAACATAAACGTCAAAATTAACATCCGAATATTTTTTTTTAATTTAATCTAGAAAGACTTTAGTCATTCCCCAACACTTAATGAGATCTTCAACAAAGTAATATCAAAGTTAGCTGCATCGACCAGTATATAGCTCGGTACTTCCACTCTAAACTTGCATTTCAACAACCTTCAAAGCGACAGCATCCTCATAACTAATAATTGCAATTGCGGAAATAGCAAACCCTGCCTATGAAACGGTAAATGTATGTCCAAATCGTGAGTTTATAAAGCAGAAATGAAACATTGTGACAAGGTCAAGTTTTACGTGGTCTCTACGGAAAAGAATTGGAAATCGCGCTTTTACCACCACGGAATATTTGGCAATATCAAATATCGAATCTGCTCCACCCTCTCTAAATATTTCTGGAAGCTAAAATGCGAGAACAAAAACCCAATTATCACCTGGGAATTATTACTGAAGGCTAAGCCCTTCAGCGGGAAAGGCAATAAATGTAATTTGTGTCTCGATGAAAAATTTATAATCCTAAAAAATATAAAAATCGAAACCGCTAAGTGAATTGATTAGTACTGGCTTACATAGATTCAGGTTCATACACAAACACATTGACTCAGTTTAATACATGTGTCCATATTTGCTAATATTGATATTATTTTTTAAACTTTTCTTTCTATCATTATTGTACAACTATTTTAATTTTAGATGATAATGCATTTAACTTTTTTGCCTTTCCATTTTATCCATTACCTCACCATTATCATATTCAGTTTATACGTACTATTATTTTTATTTTTGCTTTATTTGTTGTCTCTTTCTTTCACCTTTAGTTTTACTGTCAGAAACGTGTGTATTTACTCATCTATTCGTATTCATTATTTTATTCAATTATTCATTTATTTACTTTATTTATTTATTCATCTATCTAATTATTTGCATATTTACAAGTTCCTAAATATAGCTTTCATTTCATTTTATTTTATCTTATCTTACTTTACTTTATCACGTCATATCTTATTATTTTTATATTTTTTAGGAATATTAATATTAATAATAATAATAATAATATTAATTACTCAGTTGATTACCGGAAAAAATAGAGTTACCCACTTTGATTTTATAACACCACTTGTATTTGTTAAACAAGCATCTCTCTAAGTTAGAATTTATATATCTTATTTCCATCCTTATTTTCAATCTTAAATGTTGATATGGGCCGAACTTCAAACTCAAAACCAACTACAATTCATTTAATCATTTTAATATGTTTATTGACATATTTATATCTTCCTATATAAGGCTCTTATTTCATTTTACTTTATTTTTCTTATTTTATTTTAAATGATTTGCGTTCCATTGATAAGTATTATTATTATTATTATTGGTAGTAGTAGTAGTATTAGTAGTAGTAGTACTTTATTTTATTGCGCTTTATTTTATATTATTTTACCATGGCATACTCTCTTCTTGATGTCAGTAATTTTAGCTAGTTTAGTAATATTATTATCAATAACTCTCTTAATTTTCGGAAAAAAATGAGTTACTTCACCTTGATTTCCTAACACCCCTTTTTTGTTTACTTACACTTTCAAATCCCATCGTTTTCCTAATTTAGAATTTCTGTCTTATTTCTAACTGTATTTTCAAAGGTTAGATTTGAATATTATCCTGATCCATCAGATTTATTGAAGAAACGTCTTGTGAATAGAGACCATAAAAAATATCTGGAAAATACAACAATGCCTTCTGGATTATTTCCTTCAGTCAAAAGGGACAATTTATGGCCACTCTTAAAGTACAGGGACAAGTTTATCACATAATTTGAGTACTTCAAAATAAATCTCAAGAACTACACTTTGAAGGGCTATGATTTTCCCATTGATAAATTTATGATGCATGTTCAAGAGTAGGAAGTAAAAAATTGTTTCTTTGTTTTCACTCTATCAGAAAAAGTAAAGGAACTTTGTTTATAAAGAAGTTCTTTCATGAAGATGTTTCAATGATCATTCTTAATTTTGCTGACCATTAATTTTGTTCTCATTAAAAACATTTTAGACAATTTAATTTGAATTGCTGTATTTACAACTTTACTATATTAGAATTAATATTAGAAGATAATTAGAAAATTGTATTTGAATTGCAGTATTTTTGTTTTTGTTTTGTTTGCTTTTTTCTTCTGATTTCAGAATATTGAATTTGAACGTCCTTGTTATGATCTTGTTAATAAAATGCTTACATTTTTTATTCAATAGGTTACTTATTCCTGTAAGTAATATATATATATATATATATATATATATATATATATATATATATATATATATATATATATATAAAGAGAGGAAAAGAAAGACAAAGAGAATCTTTGTGAAGCGCGTTTTGTCATTCATCGGACTAAGTTTGTTATATTGGCACGATTACACATGCGTACGAACAGGGGATGTTGAGAATTTTAAATTTAATTCACATACGCACGCACACGCACACACACACATACATACATATATATATATATATATATATATATATATATATATATATAAGACAGACCACGTTAAGATTCCATGTAATAAGCTATTTCACCATAACCACTTTAACAGGGTTCTGGATCATCAGACTTTACTTCCAAAAGCTGAAATGAAAAAATGAAAAGAAATTCACGTTTTTACGGACCTCATCAAGTATACGCAAAGTTAGCAGAAGTGAGGAAGTGAGGTGGGAGAGAGGATATGAGTGTGTCATATGTATCATTTTAGTTTCCTATTTTAACCCCAGTGTGTCGGCTGGATGTTGCTCAAATCTAACGCGTCTCGTCTCTAGATAAAGGTGGTTAAGGGGTTAGCGATAAGGACTATATTAAGGAAGACGTTCCAACAACCCCAATAAATTACATGACAGGTTTCATTCAAATTCTTAGACGCTGTCAGTTCGCGTTACTTTAACATGCATATTTGGGAGGTTAAGGTTTGATAAATATCTACATTTTAAAGACACTCTACGAAGAAATTAATTTGAAATTCGGTGGAGTTTTGAGTGTTTTCTATGAAGCAGTCGATTGGAAAAAACCCATAGACAGAACATTGAAAGAGTAATCCCATTTATATTTAGTACTTTTTCCACTAAAACTTTTATCTTATAGCTTGTTAGGTTGACATTTATTCGTTTGAT